CAATAATCATCACGTATCACATATGATACTATTACTAGGGCTAACGCTTACTGAGGGCTAACTATGTGCCAGCACTCGGCTAAGAAGCCTGTGTGCCTTAACTTTTAATTCTCACCAAAACGCCATGAGGTAGCTACTCTTTATCCTTCTCATATTACAGATGAGGAAACCAAGGCTTAAAGGGAATTGGTAACTTGCCAAAGTTCCCATAATTTGGTAAGTGGTGGAGTGAGAATCAGAGCCCAGCCTGGCCCAGCTCCAGAGACCATCGCAGTAAACACCTACATGCTCCTCCTCTTCAAGGCTCCCACAAGCATTTCACCAGATCAGGAGTCTGAGGTCCTCCCACCAGGCCACTCACCAGGAGGCTAATCAGTCAGCAGTGCTATAGAGTAGGTCAAACTTTGCTCCATCTTTTGTGGAGTATAAAGATGATTAATAGCTTACATAGAAATTGATCTAACCACTGTTTTATGAAAAATGCAGGATTTCCATATCTTTAGAGGGACTTCTCAAAGAAATTTGAATTAGGGAACAAAGTAATTGAATTTTTCTGTCTTTCTTGGCATTTTTAGCTACTGATTAATGTAGAGTTCTGAGTGTCGGAAAGACTTAGAGAGATCAATAATAATATTAACTCTTATGAAAAGGTTTCTTATGAGAAAGGATTGTAGTTCAGGGTCTTTGATGGAAAACAGTCAAAGGTCAGAGTTCATGGGTGCCAGCTATATCGGCAAGGGGTAGGAGTGGGGCAAACTCTATTGCTACTATGACCTTTAACATTTCCTCAGAACCCTAGCTCTCTCCTGGTCTGAGGGAGGTGAGAGGAAAGAGTAGGGTTGATGACCACAGCCAGGCTACAATATTGGGTGTAAATGACGCCCTCCCCCATCACGCAGGCAGATCATCCACCCCCGGGTCTGTCCTCTTGAGAAGAACACCCCCTGTCTCTCAGGCCACAGTTGCTCATGAGGATTAACCCGTCCCACCTCCTCACCCCCGACCCCGGCATTCCCCCTCCTTCCAACAATCCTTTGGACAGACATGACTGACAAGAGTACCAGAGGCGATGATGTCACAAAGAGAGGGGGCAGTGTGCCCTGTTAGACCATCTTTCACTCCAGTGGACTCGCCTTCACAGACAAATTGATTTGCAAAGGTTCAGGCTGCCAGCCCGGCCTGCTTTGCATACAGAACGCTCCCTGGTGACACAATAAAAAGTGGCCAGGCTAACAGAGGAGCACAGCGGGGTCTGGCCGGTTCAAAGTCCAAACTCCACACCCCCTCACCTCAGTCTGGTTTGAAAGGTCACTGTGTGTCTGGGAAAATAGTCGCAGGATACAATGCTTTATTAAAGGTCACTATTTTTCAACAGCACTTAACACACACTTACACACAAATTGAGACTGGAGAGGGAAAAAAAAAACCTGAGGGCTGCATCGCATTGTATATTGTGCTTGCAAGATTTATGTCTTGTGGTCACCAGCAATAAACACACACTGCTTCAGTATTAAAGTTCACATTAATCCACTGATTCTCCCTTCCCTGGAAATCAGCCTCTTCTTTGCCAGGCAGACAGGGGCAACCAAGACTTTTGTTCATTTCTTCTGTTTCTTCCCCATCTTTTCCTTCCCTTGTCGTAAGTTTTGTACTTTGGTTTAGTTTTCTAAATTCTTGTTGGTGTTGTTATTGTTGACGTGCAGCCAGAGAACTCTACTCTGGGTGGTTTCCTCTCTTGACTGTGCCTGATGTGTGCCTAGCATTTGGATCCAAGACCACGCGTACTCACCGTGCCCAAGACTTGGAGTACGTGTCTGTGGATCTGGATGTGTCACAGACCTTGAGAAGCAAAGGTCAAGTTCTTTTCTGTGCTGATTATGGGCATCTAAGGGAGCGCTGTAGCCAAGCCAGTGGCCATCAACTATCAAGGAGACTGCCAGTCCTGCCCATCCATTATGTTGTATATTTTATTTGAGTAAATACTTCCAATATAAGCAAAAATAGCAATTGTATTTTCCTCAGTAACAGACAGGTCATGTTTAGTTCCCAAGGAATGTTAACAATAGCAATCCCTGAATTCATAACAAAAGAGATTATCAAAGAAGTCAGCCGGAGCTGTTAGATTAATTTAGGCAAGAATTGCAAAAGAAAACATTTAGGAGAAACTCTATGAATTTCAAATAGCCAGCAAAATATATAATGTTGAGGATTCCACTCTGCTCTGTAGCACATTTTTGCAAAGCTTCTGCCAGTGATAGATTTTTGAGCTATCAAAAGCACATTAATTTTTTCTGATTAAAACAGCTGTGAAAATATACAAGTGTAACTGTGAAAAATCCGGGGCTTATTGTAATACTTTAAGCAAAACAAGGATAAAAGATTTTTAAATACGGACTTGCCAAAAGTAAAATATCTAACACGGAGAGAACTAATTCTGCGTGTGCTTCTAATATTTTGGCATAAATACTTTAATCCTCTTGTCCATCCTGTTGGCACCTCGTCTACAGTTGACTTGTTAAGAGCGAGTTCCTTTGTAATGTCGTCAGCACCTCTCCATAGTTATTGACTGTGCTCTCATTAAAACGGCAAGATCACAAAACCGGCAGAAGTGAGAAGAGGTGGGGAGGAAGCCTGCTCCTCACTACAAAGGTATTCAGAAAGGCGAAAGAACCTAAACGAGAAATGAGAAAACATGACAGAAGTGAAACTGTCTGACAAAGAGGAGGAGGAGGGCAGAGAGAGAAAAAGGGAGGAGGGAGCAGGAGGAGAAGGGAGGAGGGAGGTGAAAGAGGGAGGAGGAAGGAAGGAGGAGGAGAAGGAGGAGGAAGGAGAGAAGAGGAGGAGGGGGAGGAGAATGGGGAGAAGGGAGGAGGAAGGGGAGAGAGGAAGGGGATGCCTTCTGGAGGTGGGGCTGGAGTTTCGCGACTGTTTTCATGTTTCTATTATAAAAATACACAGGGGATGGATGGCAACTAGACTTTTGGTGGTGAACACAGTGCAATCTATACAGAAGTCGAAATTTAATAATGTACACCTGAAATTTATATAATGTTACAAACCAAAGTGACCTCAATGAAGAAAAAAGAATTTTTTAAAAACCCACACAAGGGATCGCGAAGACCCAGCTCAAGTTGCTTATGGAGTTCGCCTAGAGTTATGACATAATATCACGAATGAAGCACACACACACACACACACACACACACACTCACAGCCACATACAGCTTGTCTTCTTCTCGCTCCTTAAAAATAAATCCTTTTTGGAGGAAAGCGTTGATTTCTCTTGTCCGCACCCCTGATCTAGGCTTGGCTGGTAGTGATCTAGACCCTTCATTCCCCAATCTACTGTCTTGAAAGGGGTGACCTCACGCATAAAGTCATTGCATGATTCAAAAGCAGGGGGGAAGGGGGACAGCAGTGCATACTTAACCAAAATAAGGTGGCTTTTGAGGAGACTCACCCAAAATTCAGTCCCCCAACTTTGAAGACAACATAAAGATCAAGAAAAGAAAAGAAAAGAAAAGGGAAGAGAAAAGAAAATAAGCCCCCTTTCCTCTCTCCCCTGGGCTGCAAGCTGAAACTCAGGGTTGGGCTGTGCGCCGCGCTGACCTTCCACAGCTTCCATTCAGGCGGGAATTTTGGGATTAGGGCTCTGGGTCAGATGGTGAGGTTGCCAAGTGCTACCCATTTCCAGTGTGGAGCCCAGACCTGGCAGTCCCCTGCCTCTGAGGAAACGACACAAACACCCGCGCCCCTCAAAGCTGGTAGGAGAGGACTCAAGTTCCACTGTAAACGGAAGTGCCTGGGATTCCAACCCAGAGCCCCCAATGTGTTCAAAGGCAGCACGCTAATGCATAAAACGTCTGGGCTCAGCCGAGGCATCGCATCAGCCTCTGCAAACGAGGCTTTTAAGGACAGCAAAGGATGAAGAGCCAGATTCTGAGGAGATTAGGGGATCGCTGAGCCAGGATGGTTGTCTCTCCTCTCCTCTTGACTCTCTCTCCCTCCAGCTTCCACCCCTCACCTCTCCCCAACCAGGTGATTAATTCTAGGCCCCAGGATGGTCTCTAAAGGGATCCACATTAGCTACAGTGACACCCAGTGCTAAGGGAGAGAGGAACAAGCAGAGGCTCCTCTGTTGCCAGCTGTGGCCAGAAGCCAGCAAGTCTCCTCTGGCCAGGCTAAGCATGCCCCAGTCCCCGGGCAACTGAGCACTCTGCCTGACCCAGGATGGGATGCTGAGGGCCACACTCGTGCCACAGTCTTGGAGTTTGATGATGCCCTGCATCCCAGAAGGGCTCCTTTCGGACAGCACAGTGGTACCCTCAAGCCCTGTCCTCCTCCTCTGCATCCTGGTTCAGCCTCCTTGCCAGGACCACGCCAGCCACCCCCATCTCTGCATTCTATCCCACCCTCCCCACCCCATCCCAGGAAACCTTTGGTCAAGTATCCACCGGTACTGCCCATCCAGACCCCTTCCAGGGAAACGTCACCTCTCACTTACCTAAGGAGAGCTTGGACTTTTCCATGCCCTACAAGCCCCTGTGATTGTCCTTCTGGGTGGACAGAGTCTGGCTAACGCATGGCACAGCGGGCCTTCAGGCTGAAAACTAGCATCATTTTTCTCCAAGGCTCATGAGTTTGGGACATTTTAGTTTTTCTTATTTTTGCAGACCCCAAAGAGCTATGTCCCAGAGATTTCCTTACCCTTGCATTATTTAACCCTATAATGATTACGTGGGAGTGTGTGCATGTGCATGAATGTGCAAGTCACACTGGGGGAAATATTCACGCAGGCGTCCTCTGGTCACAAGGCAGTCTCAGTTGCTCACAGACTTTGAAGCAGGCAGTCTTGTGTCTGCGCGGCCAGAATGTCAGCTCCATGGGGGCAGTTTTTTCCTTTTTGCACACCTAGAATAGTGCTGGCTCTACAGTAAGTGCTCAATAAATACTTACTGAAAATTTTACATGCTGCAGAATTCAAGCGTGTGACTCAGTGGTTTCTGGCATTTCTTTTATTTTTCACTGATTAAAAGAAAAATCACCTGGGTAGGAGACCGACAAGATCTTTTTTGCTTATAGGGCCTTTCTGCTGTGGCCCTTCGAGGGGAAGACAAGGAAAGCACATACAAGCATCTGTGCACATGCACACGTGTGTGCATGTGTGTTGGGGGTTAGTATCTATATTTGGGTTTTTTCCTTGCTGTGTCTGGTCCAATCCCCCCCGCTTCTTCGCTGCCTGGGTCATGCACCTGAGTTCTCTTGTAACAGTAATTACAAAGGTTTTGACAGCCTTATGAGTATAGTTTGGAAAGCAGCTGTCAGAGAAATTAGCAAGTTTTGCCAACAGCTCAGCTCTGAGGTGATGGGAGCCCAGGCCGGGACAGGAGGAGTTAACCCAGATGAGTGGGGTGTTATGCAAAGCACCAAATCCCTAAACTGCCACAAAGATCTTTGATGGCCGTGATCAATAGATTCTCAGACCACACTGACATAACCTTGTCATGCCTCAGCAAGGGTACAGTGGCTAAAAAGGCGTGGGGAGGTGGAGAGGTGGGAGGAGAGGGGGAGAGACAGAGAACAGGGGAGGGGATAAAGATATCATAGCCCTCCCTGGCTCCCCCAGCGCGCTCCTTCCCACACCCACCCCCTCTTCAACAGGCATCACACAGCAAGTGACTGGTAATGGTTCTTTGGCCTTGTACGGCTTTTAAAATCCTTCAGCTGAAGCATCTCAGCTCCAATCGCCAGCAAAGCTTGAGCACCCTTGAGACCCTGGTACAGATAATCATCATCCACTCAGTGACAAGAAGCTGAGCGCCGCTTCGGTACCAAGGAGACCGAATGTGGCAGGGCACCAAGGTGCCATCTTAGACGCATCCAAGCAGCCACCGTGGCAGCAGCAGCAGCAGCAGCCCACAGGGATGTGTATGTGTGTGCAAGTTGTTGTTTTTTCCCCCTTTTTCTTCTTCTTCATCTTCTTCTCCGTCTATCCTCTCACCCTTCTTAGAGCATCCTTTCGCGAGAGGGGTACTGTTAACACGGCTGCTCTTAGCAGGCTTCCCGTTACCCAGCACCTGCTGGACCAAATTGAATCCTGTAGTCAATACTGTTGGAAGGGAAAATGACATTAATTTGTGTAAAAGTGTAATCAAAAGGTGGTTGGGTGATTTTTCTTGCTTTCAGGGAAATGTGGGTTTGAGTTTATGATTATATAAAAGAGAGGAAGCCGGTCAGCAGCTTCCTGCCTTCCTCCCAGCACTTCCCCAGCGCTCTTTCTGCCGTGTGACAGCATTATAGTTAATGGTGCTGCATTATGTATACAATACACTGTGGATGGTATGGCTGGCTGGGACAGTCCTGCAGACCGGGGTGCTGATGGGTATTTACACACCAGCTGAAAGGTGGAAGAGAGAATATCTAGAAATGAAAGAAGAGCCATCCTTACTACACACACAACTCAAACCTCCAGCCACTTGGAACAGCGGGTGAATTTCCCGATCTCAAGGGCCCCCGCGTTTGTGTTCCCTTTTCCACCTCAGGCCCTTGGCTCACATTTTCCATTCACAGAGCTCCCTGGCAAACTGAAGATGGTCTAGACAAGGAACACCACATCCCTTGCACGTGTTAAAAACAGCTCTCCAAACAGCCCGAAATATTTGCATTCCATTGTCAACTTTCCATCTCACACCTTAACAAGGGGCAGTTCTTGGGGAGGGACACCTCTGGGCAATTGTCCTTTGCAGGCATGACTCTAAGGCCAAGTCACCAGGCCTGAAGCCCCTGCCAGGAAGCAGACCAATTTGACTATTAAGCAGTCACACAAAGGAGTTGCAGGCAGTGGATGTTTGCAAAAGAGAAGACGCCACTCCATTCCCGACACCGTGAGGACAGAGGTGGGCAGTGCATACGCGGCTGTGCTATCCCCCAGGGGCAAATGAACATTAGGCACTGACCACTACACTGGAAGAGGTCATGGTAATGAAGCCGGGGGCCTGGGAGAGTGGGAAGCATGGAAAGTTTGCCAGGAAGCGAAGCAGGGGATTTTAGGATCCCAGAGAGCCTGACGAAAGAAAGCTGCATCTTTAAAAAGTTATTTAAAGGAATTGGCCTTATGTGGGGGGCCAAGGAGGTGGCAGCCTGTATGTGAAACCCAGGATACAGCAGGGGCAGTCTTGGTGCCTCTCTACTCTCAGTCACCCTCCCCGCAAGGAAAAGCTGTCACTATGTGCTGACCAAAATTTGAATTCGCTTAGTTGATTCATTCATTCAACAAAATGTGTTGATCATCCGCCACATGCGGGGCACTGTGCTATGTCCTGAGAACACAACAGTGAACAAAGTGACAGAAATATCTATCTGTCCCCATGGAACTTACATTCTACCCCTCCGCAAAGGACAAAGCCCTTCATGAGACAGTGAAAGATGCAAACATCTTTTGAGTTGAGAAAGATGCCTAAGATGTAAGTAACTAAGATCCACGTTCTCTATGGAATTTTCAGAGGGGGAGGGGAAAGGAGCATAGTTGAGAGGGAAGAAGGAAGGAGGGGCTGGGCCTCCTTCCAGGAGGGAGCAAAGTACAAAAGCTGAAGGCACTGAGGCAAGATTCACCTACTTTGCAGTTTTGCTGAGCATTAGCGCTGGTAATGAGGAGGTGATCGTACAAATATCCAGGGGGTTAAATGCCAAGATTCTGAGTTATGTTTGTATTTATATTAGGCAAGAAGCTGGCAAAAATCTCCACTCACCTGCCAATAAGCCTGCATTCCAGGACCAGGTCTAGATGGAAAACTCCAGGGCTCTCCAGTATGCAGACCAGTAGAGGAGCGTTCCCGATCTCGAGGATCCTCTAGCCTCCTCCTTCCTCTGGATTTTCCATAAATCTCTGGAATGCCTAGGAGCCCGAGCATGTCAACCAGCACCCTGTTCATCCACAAAGATCCAGCAATTTTTAAATAATAATGATTTCCCTAAAATTCTGGTGTGCGGTTCAAACTTATTGAAAAACTTAACCTTCATCCTCAACCACTGCAGAACCCAAGAAAGTCACGGATTTCACTCAAGCCACAGGTCATGCTTTCCCTGGTGTTCAGAATCACTCAGAGTCCTTGAGTCATAGAAAGGCTGCCTTGCATCTGAATCATCCTGGGGCTTGTGTCCGGCGGCTTGCTTGCCATCACGCTGTTTCTAGCCCTAACATGGAGTCATTGTCCCTTTTCTCAGCCCTGATTCCTTTGACCCCCTATCCGCATCATGATGCATAACTTGGCACTGCCCTCACTCTAGAAACATCTTTTCCTCAGTAACTGGAATTATCACCAAGTTCCTTCTTTCATAAAAAGAAAAAAAAGGCTTTCAAATTACTTCATAGGTATCAAATAGCATCCCAAAAATAAATAGATAAGTCCTTTTGCCATGCTGTGTGTACACACAAACACACTCACTCATTCACATGCAACCATCCCAAAACTATTGGCCTGAAAACTTGGCTATCCCAGAGATGTCCCCTCCGTCAAACTACGTCAAAAGAGGTCAGGTCTCAGTCTGCAGCCTGAGCTCAGTCTGTAGTCTGCCCAGAGCCACTAAAATAAAAGCTCATCCAGAGAACTGAAAGAACCAAAGTTACTCAGCACACACACAGCCTAGGGGTGCTGGGACTAGGTTAAAAATACAACCTGGCTGGGGCTGGCCCCGTGGCCGAGTGGTTTAGTTCGCACGCTCCGCTGCCGGTGGCCCAGTGTTTCGTTGGTTCGAATCCTGGGCGCGGACATGGCACTGCTCATCAAACCACGCTGAGGCAGCATCCCACATGCCACAACTAGAAGGACCCACAATGAAGAATATACAACTATGTACCGGGGGGCTTCGGGGAGAAAAAGGAAAAAATAAAATCTTTAAAAAAAAAAAAAGTACAACCTGGTGCGTGAGGTCATGTGGGATGTGAGTGCGTGGCTGGCCCAGGACGCTGACCGGCTTGCCCATCTATTGGGCACAGTTTGCTTCTGCAAAGAATCTAGCCGAAGAGAAAGACCCCAATACACAGAGAGAAAGAGAGGCAAGGAGAGACATCTAGAAGGAGCCCCAGTGATGGAGGGAGACAGAATGAGGGGCAAGGAGACAAAGAGCCAGGGAAGACAAAGGCAGTGCCCTCGTTTCCTCACGTTCCCAGAGATGAGAAGGGAAACCACAATGAATAAATCGCCATCCTGGTTGGCGATATTGGAAACTTCCTTTTTCGCCTTGAGGAGAGGGAAAGCAGATGATGTCTTCTCTTTATCCAATTTTTAAATAGTCTGCAGGGAGCTGGGGGAAAATACGGACTGGGAAAAACAACGGCAACAAGAGGAAGAAAAGAACAGTGAGTGGACTATGAACCGGCTGTGAAAGTTTGCATGGCAATCACATTGTTGTGGTTTTATGACTGCCATTTCTGCTTGCCAATATTTCTTTTTCTTTCCTCCCCCCAAACTTGTTCCCTTAGGCCCTGCTTATTGAACCTTAGACAATAGTGACTTCAGCATGGAGACATATATCCAGGCAGCCTCGGCCTGAGGCAGGAGACCAGGATGCAGAGGGCAAAGGTTTGACCCTAAGAAAAATTTCTCATGGGGTCGGATCACACTGCCTGGCCAGAGGGATTTTTTTTCGCTTGATACTGTTTTCTCTCTTCAAGTGACTGATTTTCCCAGCCAAATCTCTTACTCCCAAGCAAGAGGAGTGATGTTTGCCTCTTCTGGGTTTGGGTGTAGATTTCTGCCTTTTGCCACTTTCCATGGAGGCCATCACTTTCTTTAAACTGGGCGATGCAGCCAGGGCTGAACTTTATCAGCTTCTGCCTCCCTACAACCTTTCAGCTCCTATCCTGACTCGTGGCCCACCCCTGAGCCCTCCTCACAGGACCCAGCATCTCTCAAAACTGCCGCGTTACGTGTGGGCCAATGGGAAGGCATTTGTGAGTTGCAAATGTTCAAATTAACACTTACTCTTGTCTCTGAGTCTACAGGGAAAACCAACTCTGACTGCTAATTACCGCTTTTGGGGGTGAAAATAAACAGGAGTGCGGCAAGTCAAGGCCTTGGTGCAGAAGAAAAATGTCTTCATTTGGTTGCACCATTTTGACATTTCAGCCCCAAGAGCTAGAGAGAGGAACCGGGGGTGGAAAAGGGCCACATCCCACTGGAGGAGAAGCACAGTGTCTTCAGGCCTTGCCATTATACCCTGGCAGAGTTCCAGGCCTGCCTCACTCGTCTTTGTCAGTGTTTTGATAGTGGCAGAGTTAGGAGGAAGTTGTCAGGGGCCAGGGGAAGGGTAGCGGGAAGTGTGTGGGCAGCATCATGGCTGGTCCCTTTCTACCCTCTGAGCCCAAAATTCCTCCACTCACCAGACCCAGCAGAATTTCCCAGCCTTGCTACCACCACCTATGAAGAGGTTTCTGACTACTCCAGCCCTTGCAATCTCTTGCCCTTCGTCTCTTTGAAGTACTTTTTTCCACCACTCTTTGCCAGTGCAACTGCTTTGTGTAGTTGTCTAACTTTTAGTTATACTGCACAGCCCTGAGATTTTTCAATCTGGGAAATACTGTCTTTAGTTTTGGGAAATTCTCTGCCATTACACCCTCAAATATTGCTTGTGCATCTTTTTCTCTATTTTCTCCTCTTGGGACCCCTACTAAACATATGTTGGGCTTTTTGATCTGTCCTCCAGATCTCTTAACTTTCTTTTCATGTTTTCCACCCCGTTAGGTCTTCATGCCATGTTTGAGACATTTCCTCAGCTCGATCTTCTAGTTACATAATTCATTTTTTGCTGTGTGCAATATGCTGTTTGGCCTATTCTGTGGAGTTTAAAATATACCTGCAAATTCTTTGATAACCTTTCCTTCAAGAGTTGGAGTGTAACTCTTCTCCTTTTGTAGCTAGATCTAACTGGTCTAGTTTTAATGACTCTCATCTAATGAATAGAATATGGTGGAAGTGACAGTATGTAACTTCCAAGACTTGGTCACAAAAAGCATTGTGGCTTCCTTCCTCCTTGCTCTCCCTGTGATCACTTGTTCTAGGGGAAGCCAGCTACCACGTCATCAGAACACATCAAGGTGCGCTATGGAGAGGTCCACGTGGGGAGGAAGTGAGGTCATCCGCCAACAGCCCTGTGAGGGAGCCATCTTAGAAGCTGTTCTTCCAGCCTAGGCAAACCTTCAGGGGACTGCAGACCAGGCCAACATCTTCACTTCAACCTCGTGAGAGACCTTGAGCTAAAATCAGCCAACTAAACCACTCCTGAATTCCTGACACAAAGAAACCATGAGATAATAAATGTTTATTGTTTTAATCCACTACGTTTTGGCATGATTTGTTAACTAATACACCCATAGACTCAATTTTTTGATTCCAGAGACTATTTCTGTATTCCTGCAGTTTCTAATTTTCTTCACAGCCACCTGTTCTTGTTTCATGGCCTTCTGTGTTTATTTCCTTGTTTCTACGCCTTCCCTTATCTTTGACCACATTTAAATTATTTATTTTAAAGTCTTTTTTATGGATTGTTCTATTATCTCTTTTCCTTGGATGTTGGTTCATCCATTTGCTGAGTTTGTTATTTGTCTTTCATGGTGTTAGACTTCCTGGGTGGTTTGTAATTTTTGTTTGTGAAATCATCTTTTATGAGAACTTCCTTCTATAAATATCCAGAAAACCCAGGGCAGTCTTAAGGACTTGATACTCAGGTTGAGGCTTCCCAGCTAAAAGTGATCTGCTTACTGGCCCTGGCCCTGAGCATACAGCATGATCCCAAGGTCCTGTCATGCTGGATGGCACTTCTCAGGACCTTAGGCACAACCCCAGGAAGGAAGGCAGCGTTTTCTGCTGCCTCCCTCCTACATTTAATGAGGAGAGTGTATTTCCAGGGCTTGGCTTTCTATAGGCTGTGCAACTCCAGCCCCCACCTTTCAAGGTAATGGAATCCCAGACTGAGCCCCTTGATTAGCCAGTCCCATTCCCAGTTCCCACAAGCCTGACAGCTAAGGCCTCCTAAGTGTGGTCCATGTGTTAAATTATTTTTTGGAAACTTCTCCATTTATGACTGCTGGAAATTTCCTCTCTTGACTTAATCATGATTATGTACTTCTCAAATTTTTTTCCCCATCATTTGTAAATGTTCAAGGTAAAAAGGGGAGGCTTCAGCCTGTAGAAAATGTATTTGCCCTCTACCAGAAGTCTTGTTTGCTAACTTTCCATATTTATTTTTTCCTCTCTCCCCAATCACACCTTAAGCTTCTAAAAGGCCAGGACAGGATCATGCCCTGTTTTGCTTCTCCTCGTCGGAAGAGCAGTATGCCTTCGACATGGGAGCTGCTCTATAAATGTTTGATAGACTGACAGGTGAGGGGATGACGTGATGGGGAGTTTTGAGAGGAAAAGGAAATATAAAACTTCTCCCATATTTCATCAGGATTGCTGACCCTTGGGTTTAAAATCCCTCTAAGAAGGTGGTTCTTAAGTTTTTCTGAATCATAGACATTTTTAAAACCTAACTAGATCCTCTCTGCAGAAAAAAAATATATATATGCAACACACAAAATTCTGAGTTCTATTTCAGGGATCTAAGTAGTTTAAAAAACTAATCTTAACATACAAAAATATTTCTTCTTTATGTTTCTTAACAAAACTTCTTTTGATGCTGTGAGGTTTTTTTTTCCTTGCCACTTACCAAAGATCTTTTCTTTCTTTCTTTCTTTCGTTTTTTCTTTTTTTTTTTTTTTTTTTCCCTGTGGAAGCTTAGCCCTGAGCTAACATCTGTACCAATCTTCCTCCATTTTATATGTGGGTTGCCACCATAGCATGGCTGACAAATGGTGTAGATCCATGCCTGGGATCCAAACCTGTGAACCCAGGCTGCCGAAGCAGAGCATGCTGAACTTAACC